AAAATTGAAGATTTGATCTAATTACTCTAATATTTGATCGCGTTCAAAATTACCTGCAAAAAAAGGAATTAAATTTTTAGCACAATTATAAGATAATGTAAGAAAAATATTTTCTACTTTTATTGCTTCAAGTTTCAAATTCAAATTATTCGCATTTTGAACTTGTTTTCAACTTGACTATGAGGCATAATATAATATGGAAGATTATTGTATATTCATAACACTTCGCGTTTTGATGGATTTAAATCTCATAAGAGCTGCTGCCTTTTATGAGATTAGATCAAACACGACATTGCTCAGGGAATCATTGAAGAAAGAATGTGTGTCAAAATTATATTAAGGAAACTGTATATTTTAAATGCTAAAGAAAACATTGACAAGCGATGGTTTTATAATGAGTCTTTAGGCAAACCAATTGGTTTATTAAAAAACAGCTTTTATTAACTTTTCTCTTCTGGCAGTTATTTTTTTTAATATATGTATTGTCATTATAAGTTAGCAGTAAGAAGAAATCGAAAGTATATTATCAGTAGAAAGCCTATGAAAAAATAGAAGAAACATTAAATAGAAAATGAAAAGTTAATAGATAAGCATAATTTTAGAGGTAAACTATGGAAAGATGTAGAAGATCTGCTTAGCATGATAATAGAATGTGGCTTGTTGAGATAAAAAAGTAATCTATCGACTGATTCTCATTCAACAATTCAAATGCAAATGAACAGCAAGCAAGATGTGAAATATGCATGTGAATTATCCCATTGGGATAGTCAACTCTAAAGGTAACATGCAGATGAAATATAATTGGATTAATTCCCGAGATGCCTTGACCACTTCCGGAGGAGCGCTTGTAAGTGCACCGACTTCGCTTCATGATTAAATAATTGTTTTCATTGGCAAATAAATGATGGATTTCTCAGATTGACAATTCTGATATGCGAAAGCGATCACAGTAATGGATCATATCGCAGCATCATTGCAGGCAAACTAATCCTTTTTGCAGCTGCAACAAATCTATATTTGCATGCTGTTCTTTCATGCATTCAACTTCATAACCAATTATTCATTTCGCTGCAGTACATACTATCATAAATCATATCTTTTTATAATAATTACTTTTTTCACCAAAAATTTTAATCATTAATAGGTTCGAAAATCAAATATTTCAAACACGTGGATTAAGACATTTACAGCTGCATTCAATTTTGGGAAATATGTGCAACAATACGATTATTAATTGAACATGAAAAATTCGATCCCAATTAGTTCTATTAAAAATTACTATAAAAAAAGGGCTTCGTTAATACAAGGAACTGATTGCTTAAGTTTACCTCAACAAGAACAAGTGAAGAGAGGAAGACTTGTTTGCTTGAGCATTCAATCTTGTTGCTGATGTCTCATTCCTCGGTATTATCTTATCATCCCCGGGGCAAAATTTGTCTTCTTGTGTCGGCATTCCATTCAAAGTTAAATTTTTCTGTGCAGCTGTAAAAAAGCTTTTATGTCACTTTATCTCAACTTTTCTCTTCTGGCAGTTATTTTTTCTAATATGTGTATTTTTAAATCCAATAATTATGTTGTCATCTAAGTAGATTTGGTGCATTGCTGCAAAAACAATAATATGAAGATGAATTAGTCGTAAAGGTAAATGTTTGTACTTTGAAAAATTATCTTCGTTGTCCTTTACATTGGATTTAAGATGAGGGAATGATGTTATGATCAAAGAAAGCAGAAAACATATGCAAAAATTGTACAAATTTTTATGCAGTGAGAGGTGCCGCGAGGCTCAATTTCATCTTTAGTCAAGAATATAAATAAATCATTGGCAACTTTCTCAATGTTTAAAAATAATCTGTCGTATAATTCATATACTTTGATCGCTATTTCTGCAATTTTTTGCAGTGGAGAATATTCAGCAAAAATTGAATGCCTATCAAACAGATATCAATCAGTAACCTATCAACTTGAATGTGTATGTCAACTTGACACATCTTCAGCTCGATACTGTATTTTTTCCCTCTGATGGTATCAGTACGATACATTTTAAATTCTTTTTTCTTTAGAATGTATGGAAACAAATTTTCAATTTGAAATTTATAGCAATAAATTTTGATTTTAAAAAGTAGAATTTTTGTTAAATTGCCAGGACGATAGAAATTACCAAAGTTAGGGTTGGATGTGGCCAACGATCAAAATTATTCCTTTTACAATTTTTCTATGTCCTAGAATATTTTTCTTAAAGTTATTGTGAAACTCGGTTATTCAGAAATGGAACACTTACTACTTTTCTGCTGCAGCTTTTAGTTATCTAATCTATCTACTAGTTATCTAGTAGCATACCTACCAGATAATTCATCTTTTACCACATTTTCCAAACTTATTCCTTGCAGATTTGTACGCTTTAAGAGTACAGTCTTACTAAGTGAGCCAAAAATTAATGTATGAATTACTTTTCACCCTGTAAGATTAATTTTTGAGGTGATCTGATGAATAACAAGAAATGACAGAGTAAATAGATCGTTATAAGAGTCCAATGGCTGGCATTTCTTATTTCTCATCCCTATAATACATGAGTAATCAACAACATTTGCTAGCTTGTTCATTCGTAATGTATTTGGAATTACTAGAACAAAGATAATTGGTCATTGAATTTCATGCTTTAGGATCCTGAACTAAATATTTCCCGATCAAATTGTTTAGTCTTAACATTCAAGTTTGTTACCGTTGATCCACTTGTCTTATGAACCATATTAAATCAAAAAACTTACATAATTTTGGCAAGTGATTTATAATCTCATTCCCCTCTCACCACGTGAGTTTTAAAGTTTGTTACCGCTGGGACCACACTTGCCAGTTAATATGTAACTGTGCAAAGCCTAGTACGCTAAGTAATGCCAGAGAGAAGAAAAAACCATCCATCATTGTGAGTCTACGAGTAAGGTATTTGTCCAGCCATATTATTGGTTCACAAGCAGTCATTTAATCTTACTTTGATGCACGTTTCATCAGGTACTTTCCTCACGATCCATGAGTATGTCTTGACGCAAAACATGATATAATTTCACGACAATCTGATTTTAGTAATGAAAGGATTAGCTAGTTTAAATAATGCTTAGCTTATGTGCATGATTAAAGAGGCTTGTAGCTGCCTTAGCAGAATGCAGATTGTCGAACTTTGGCTATAGCAGAAGGTTGTAACAAAGAGAAAAGTAACATTTGGCGTATTGGAGGGAGATATTTGCAAGAGACCTCGAAGGACCTGCGATGTTTGATTTATGAGCCGGCAGTTGCTTCCCTAGATATCTCGGAATCGAACTTCTTCCTGCACCACTTACAATTGCTCTTTGCTCTCTTTTCCTCCTTGTTCATATTACTTCGCGTGAAGTTTTAGAAGTTTATACGTGACGAAGGTTCACGCATAACCACTTGTTTTTGCTTATTTGATCACTTTAAATCAGGGAATGGGAAAACCTGTTGAAAGCACTGTAGTTCTGTCAGAGATTTATTGATACTGTTCGCAAGTTATCAATGATTTTATGAAATATTATAGAGCTTATTCAAGCTGCATTTTGCTTATCGTCACATAAAAAATGCGTATAACACAGTTTTCTAGGGCGGTTTTTGCAGATAAACTATTGAATTATCACTTTACAATTAGACTTGATTCAGTACACTTTAGATTTGCATCTTTTCATTTATCGTATCTTAAAATTACATTAAAATGGTTTACAATTGTCATTGTTATTTATTCAATGAGAGAGATAGATATTCCATCTTCTGAATCAATCACTCAGCAAAACAAAGTACAAAGTAAAGAAAGCAAAAAATGGCGGAATGACTCTTGCAAATAAACAAAAGCGTATCTGCAAATAAACGCAAATCTATTGCAAATTGTGCGTTCACTTCTTTTTTTCTAATTTTTAGGCCAAAGAAAATTTTGAAAACAGAAATGAACGAACGCTTTGATAGACCTTTCCCAGCAGCAAAAGTACATTTGACATAATTTCGTATAGTGCGTAAAAAATTAATGCTTGTAAATTTACATAATATTCGCATCACAGTAATCGAACCTTTCCTGCTACAGAACTTGCAGTATGCTCACAGAGTACATATCGAGAACTTTAAATCTGATTGAAAAACGACATCATGGTAACCTTCTTACGTGAAGTTCTTTCTGAAAACTTTCCGCTTCTAGCGCTTTATTGCAGTGCTAGAAGATTTTTGAACTTCACACTAGTTAAGGATTTAGTAACAGATTGTATTATGTACTTGAATAGACAAAGCAAAATTAGGTTTAGGAATGAGTTGGTAACATTTAGAAGATGGTAAGTTGCAATTGTGTTTTTGGTAACACAACACGGAGCAAAGAAATAATAGGATTTCGTGTACACGTAATCAATCATTTTTTCCGTGTAAAACCGTATTGTTGAAGTACGCAACGACGAAACGAAAAGATCATCAAAACATACATATATTGAGAGACTGCTTCGATTGCAAGGCAACACCTCGAGATCAATCTTTCATGGTATTCCATTCCATACAATAATAGAAATCGAGCCAATGCATATGAATGAAATACTATCGACCTTAATAATACATATTACCGCAGTAAATCAAATCAAAATGTAACATTAACAGAGATAACAACAAAGAAGATATGAGGCTTGTGATAAATGCAAAAACTACAAAGACATTCTAAAAGCGGGATATAAATATAGTAAATGCATCACTATTAAACAAATGCATTTGTGAAATAGATATACATCTTTAGAACTCACGGATCAGTCAATCTGTGACCTGACGTAGAATGGATTAATTTAATGGGAAAATACAGAACTGATTCGATTTTATTGTTGCGATAGATTTTTACTGCTATATCAAAATACAAGCAGTAGCCTGCTACTGTTTTCAGACAGAGTATGGAGGTTAGTATTAGTAAGATTGATAGATTGTAAATAATGCTTAGTGTGCTAAGTATTTGTCTTTATATTTCGAATCACATTTCAAAGTGATGTATAGCATGCCTCGTTAGCAACTTCATTAATTACTGTTTGCAGTGAGAATGCCATCTTTTCCTCCTCGTTTCTTCTTATTTGTTGCTTCTGCTCATTCCGTTTCCTTCTTTCCACTTTCCCATTTATGTTATTACTGCCTTTAACCACTGTAAAGCTGTTTGCATTATCACTAACAATAGCATTATTATCATGCGAGCAACTCTTCGGAATTGCATTACTACTGCATTCCAAGCCGCGGAGTGGTAAAGCAATAGTAGTCACAGTAGTGGAAGCGATAGTAGTAGTAACGGGCACTGCTTTGTTTGCTGATGTCATAGTAGCCAGATGTCGCTTCTTTTCTTTCATTCGTCGATTTTGGAACCAAATTTTAATTTGGCGATCACTGAGAGCTAGCAAAGTTGCAAGTTCATTGCGACGTTGCTTATTGAGGTAGCGATTGGTACGAAACTCTTTCTCTAATTCTACGATCTGCGGAGTGCTGTATGAGGTACGACCTGAAAGGAATTACGCTTTTATCTTTTGCAAAAGATATTTGTAAACAAAAAACTTATGCTCTTTCTCAACAGTGAATTTTACTAGAACGTAACTAGGTATTATTGTTTACAAAATTAAGCGTATTTGAATCAGTATTTTTAATAAATATAATCGCATTGATAGCCTATTTTCTTCAACACCTCTCAAAATGAAATTTTTTATTCATTTGCTTAAAATCTTGCCAATGTTCAGCGAGAGATGGATATCTGAAGCTAGAGTATCGTGTATATTATTGTCACAGTTTGGACCAAAATTTAGCGCCATATGTCTTTTATATATGTACTAATTTTAGATCACTATAATTAACGATTGTCTATTTTTTATCAGTTATAGCACTGCATTTTCACAGCATTTGTTGAATTGTTGCATTATTGGTTAAATGAGTTAGATCGTTAGTTTAATTCTTAATTTTATGAAATTTGAAGGAGGTGAAGTAGATGGTGTGGCGTTTAACATTTATCCAAATAATAACAATGATCGTAAATATTGGAAAGTGTGCAGCTATGCTGCAAAGTGATTCATCATTATTAAGATGATATAAAGAGAATGGATGAATGAATGATAAGTGCTTGGGAAATCGTTTGAATAGGGAACATTGATTTTATCACTGATCACATGAAGTTATCATTCCCAAGCAAATGGATTTGCGCAACGTTTGCGCTTTTCGTTTAAATTCATTTTTCATGTTTCAAAACAATGCAGCAGTAAGTAGGATTATGTGCTTGATTAGTGCAGTAACAAACGAATAAGTGGTTTATAATTTAGTTTTGTTGCGGAACTTTCAAATTCTTCGTATTCTACGTTTGATAGGTTGCTTCTTTTGGGAAGCATAAGAATGCATAACTTCCCCAGCATTACCAGCAGTATTATTTATTTTTAAATCACGCATCATTGCAAAGTGGAGATCTAGGAGGTAGAAAGACATTTTTCAAGAGATACAAGAGTAGAATTTTATTTTTGCTTCTCAAATGGCAACAATGAATACAATAATTAAAAAGCTACAAGAGGGAAGACCAGCCCTCTTGCAATGATAATAATGATTCAGAATTGAGAAAATGGCAGCAAATAGATAGATGGATAGTTTTTTTTGTGAATATTACTAGCAGCACTCATATTCACATCTTTGTTTGATATATTATTGTGAAGTGCGATAAGGTACACTCGTACAATAATTTTCGATCTTTGCTTTCTTGATATTAAAACGTGGAATTTTATCATTGAATAGTATTAGTCACACAATTCTAGAAATTGAGATAATTTTTCCTAACTGAATTTTCAGTTCTTTACTTAAATTTCATGTTACGTGAAGTGCTAAAATTATGATAATTAAATAATAGCATTGAGATGTGGAAAAAGATCAGAGCATTGAGATGTGGAAAAAGATCAGATGTTACACAATCATTATAAGCAAGCAGTTGATTGTCAAAAATGTCGTAAACGTGAGGAAGATTAGAATTTGACTTTAAACTTCTGTATGCTTGGCATTCAAGCTGTCGGGCAAAAAATACAATAAATATTGTGAGCTTATCATAGTTATTAGAAATGTCGTTTAGTTTTTGATTACTCACGTTACAAGCAACATAAACATGTCAATATTTAGGTTAGTTTGATTAAGAGAACATGTGACGAGATCAAGTAATTACTTGCTGATTTAATGTCGTAAGCTTACTATCATTATTTGGAAGTCTGCTTGAATACTGCTAGCTGTCTTAACATTACGTAGCACGTACGACAAACAGCGTAAGCAAACAATCGCTTATCAAATCTGTACAATGATTACAGTTTGACTATAGTTTGCTTTTTCCGTCTTTTGTTGCTCGAAAAACCACCAGTGTTTACTTTAATTCCTTTTCATCACTATTGCTTATAATTTGATAAATTGACTAAAATGCTCACAACTTTTTTCTATTACTATAGGAAATGGCCCGATGATCACGGATATCATATCAATCACTTCTATCTGATTTTCTCTTAACACTTTAGGTCATTCTTCATTCATTGTAGGTTAACAGTTCACTTGAGCGGCACAATTGCCTGACTGGTTACAGCGACACCACTTTAACCCATATATTCGCGTTTATTCAACTCCCCTGCCGTTTAATTGTCACAAAAGGTATTTATATCTTTTCTATTCAGACAAATTTCTTTCACATAAAGAGTAGAAATTTTTATAATTAGGCAGTTACTAAATTACTATCAACAAAGTCAGCAGTTAATTTTTATTATATTATCAATAGTAATAGATGAGATTTAAACTTTTGGGAATATAATATATTACCAAAAATTTCATTGTTGGATTCACATTATTGTGCAATCTAAAGTTTGTTTAGCTGAAAATAGTTAAGATAGACTACAACATTGTTGCCCCTAATTATAATGAAATAATCTGCTTATAATGTTAGAACAGCACTGGACTGTCGTTAGCTAATTATTAGCTAATTCTATGTTTAGTATATAGTATTTCCATTGGGTTTTCTGTAAAATCACTATGAAGAAATACAAGAAGTTGTTGGCTGGATGTTTTAGAGATAAGAATGTCGGTAGGAATCATTTATTTACTTTTTATACCCTACAATTAATGCAGTGAAGTTATCAAGCACTTGTTTCATAAGACATAGCCAAGTTCTTGAAGTTTTCGCTACATATTATTTCTTAATAAATGAAGTATTTTTAATCTGTGACTTATCAGTGATCACTGACTTGTTTCTCTTTTAAAATCAGGGACTGCTTCAAAATATGTTAATTAAAAACGTTGGAAATAATATGGGGTAGCTCAACTTACTGTAATTCATCAAAAATTCCTAATTTAAGAGTAAAGATTAATTTCATTTTTCCGTTTTCTTGATTAATTAATGTTTCTTCTAACAAATTAGAGATGGAGAAAGAGTCACCTGTTTGAGATGTGATCGCAGAATCAGTGGTGCAGCCAAGTGATTGCTGGTGTGGTTGGTCTCGTTCCAACATCCACGGATAAATAAATGGTGGCGGTGGTGGTTGGAAGAAAATCTGATTATTTGTGCAATAAGTCCCATTAGCAGTATAAGTTGTGGTGACATTAGGTGCAGCAGCAATGTTGTAGGTGGAACAGCTATTTCTGCAAGTATTGTCAAAGACTGTATGGGAATAAGTGGAGGTAGATGAGAGAGACTCGGGGTACTGAATTTGTGATGGCACATACTGAATAGAAGCATAACGAGTGTTGTTGCTGTTAGGAGCAGATACCTGATTGTATTTTTGTGGCTCATCACAGGTACCATGAAATGCAGGGAAGTGATAAGTAGCATACGTCGAAGGGAAACGACTCATGAATGTATACGAATGAAATGGTGAAGAACGAGAATCGAAGGAGAACTGAGCAGAGGATCCAACCAAATGACTATTAGCATTCATTTCTGCGTTAGCTTTATGATAAGTGAATAATAATATGTGTACGTGATTTCCGATTGAAGTGAGCGAAATAGAAGTTGGTCGAAGGAAAAGGAAATGATAAACTGACTTGACTTATCATCGGAGTCAAGAGAAGAACTGAAGGGCAGAAGTCGAGAGTTGGTTGCTAGTTATCTTCTCAGAATTGCTAAATGCTAACGGCAGAAAGTGATTGCTTTGCAGACAGAAAGGTAGAAGTGAACCATTTCTTGTCATTTAAGAAGTGTCACTCAGCTTGCATGCAAGCTAGAAAATTTTATGCTAATTCCTGGAAAGCCTCTTCCTTGCATCATTATCCTTCCCAGCCGAGCCTACCATATTTTCATAGCTTGCCACCCTCACAGCATTGCTTATGTTTCTAGGTTTTCCATGATATCAGTTCTGAGCTTGTGGAAGACATGAGAATAAGCAGTTGTTGTCAGTGATTATACCAACATGCATTTTGCTTCATCATGTTGGTTTTTATGCACACCGCTAATGTTCACTTTTAAATGTATATGTTCTATCAAAATCATAATTTCGTTGGTGTAGATGTGTAAGTTATTCGAGTGTTTAGTGCTTATTCAGAATTTGAAGGATTAAATGCCCACGTCCGAGATCTTTTATTTGAAAGTGACTGGACTTTATCAAACAGCACTGTGCATATTTTACTTAAAGATTTATTTGAAAGCTACAGAAACAAATAAGTTAGTATTAATTAAGGACATGAAAAAAATGAGAATTATTTAATAATTGGTGAATATACATTGCTCGTCTAGTTATTTTTTAAGCAGATTCAGTCCATGGTTTTCATTAGAAAATAGATTAAATAAATATGAAGATATGCACTTGCATAATACACATGAAATTTGTGCATATATGGGAGAATGTGTCCGAAAATTATGAAGGAACACTGCAATACATGGTCATTCATTATAAAACGTGCACTAAAATAAGTTCGTTTTGCAGCTTTTTTTTTTAATACGATATTTTCCTTTCTCTGTTATAACAACTTATCGATAATACTGTAAGATAAAAAGAAAATTGTGTGGGATTTGTTAATATGAGTGATTTACGGGAACTTCAGCGGTAACGCGAACATTATTTCGTTGTAATCTCTACAAAAAGTTGTGAAGTTGTAGTTACTGAAAAATAGGGAAACATTCTGTTTTCATATTTTTTTTTCTTTTCCATATTGTTTATGAAAATATAAAATAGTCGCACTTCGTAAATAGATGACGCTCATTGAGTTGATTTTGTTATTTAATTTAAGTAAGCTTTTATGAATAGAGTCAACGTGATCTGTGTATATTATTTGTGTAATATATTTTCAGTAATGTATAGTATGCATTTTGCTTTTAAATCATTATAACCTCTGCTACTTATTTCAAATCATTCAGATTTATTTCACTCTTTGCTATTAATTAATTTTACGAGTAGCAAGCATTTAGAAAAGAAGTCGATCCTTCAACTGTTCTTTCTTTTCTCCACAAACTTCTTGGAATGGTACTGAGATAGTTATTTATCAGTGACATTTTTATATCAAAGTTTATACTATATAAATTCTGTTGAATGTGAATGAAATTATTATTAAAATCGTACAATATAAGGGGTAAGAAATGATATCATAATAGTTTGCTATATTGTTTATTGAAGAGCTGATCTAATAATGTGAGGTTTGCAACGAGCATATAGATCTTTTGGTGTGCAGTGTGTGAGCATAAATGCATTGATGGTAAAATTTTTGCAAACAATCTTTTGTAAATGGCCTCAGACCTAGTAAGCCTCTATTAATTTACATATTGGCATAGGTATGAAAATTTCTGAGCAGGAGTGCATTATAGTTCCAGCAAGCTTTCACATTATTTTCACTGTTCGAATTTGCTAGTTTTATCGAATTCTAGCGTTTTTGTTCCAGCAAATACGTTTCTTAATTATAGTGTGCTGCTGGCATGCAATCAGCTATTCTCCATCACGCCTTGATCTTTCATCTTCTGTGCTAGCATTTTCCGTTTCACTCGCCAGTCATTGATTGATCTTCTCAATTTGTATTTTTTATCACTCGATATTTAGAAATAAATGTCTTTTGCTTGCATTGTTGCAATGTACAATCAATTTATGTGCCAGTCCAACTCATATGAAGTTGTGTTGCTTCAGCACTGATGCTGTGGAACAGATTTTTTTTTAATCGTAAAAGCTGGTATATGCATTAATATTTCCGATTTTCTGGACGGAAGTGCAAGAATTATTTGCATTTTCAAAATTTCAATCTGTATGATAATTCTGTGATCGATTTTGATTTCTTTTTATGACAATATTTGTTAGACACATGAATATTGAATATACTTAAGTTTTTATTGTAGATGCTTTGGCGACGAATCGTGGCTTTGTTTATATTACTGCCTATTTCGCTTGTTCACACCTTAAGGCACCATATCCCCAAATACAACTCTGCACATATCCATGGACGGTTCACCCTGTAGATACGGGTTTATCTGACCTGTTCTAATCGAAATAAGCTCGTCTCTACAGGCAGGACCAGCCAGGTTTTGCTTCATCACTTCACCTCGTCTTCTTTTCTACTCTCAGCACTCTGGACAAATTTTATTGGGATTCAGTTACATTAGTCTTTTATGCCTCAGGTTTGTTATCAGTTTCATGACACATTTACAACTTGCTATAGTGGTTATTACTCTTTCATTTAGAGTAATTTTTTCGCTAGTCTTTCTTCGTTTGTTTGATTAGTTTAAACTGCAGGAGAAAAGTTAACTGATAAATAATATCCTTGTGAAAATGTTACTGTGATTATTTATACTCGCTAACAACTGCTTGCAGTTGTACACATAGTGCACTTGTATAGCAAGCATAGGATCGACTATTTTCAGAAAGCATCGATCGTTTTCAAAATTTTTTAGAAATGCTTTCCATGCGGCCTTTCCATTGGTATTTGATTGTTTCATGCAGTTTACAATTTCAGTCTGCAATTTCTTATATATTTGCTACGATGCGCGTTGAAAACAAGTTGATGATGGGTGACACAGTTATTGAAGTTTTAAAGTGGAGTCTAATAAATTTATTCATTTTCAGAGCAAAATTATATTTTCATGTTCTGTTTCATTTGTGATAAGAAGATGCACTTAATGGTCACTACAAATATAAAATTCATAATCATAATAATAAAATATCATCGCTAATAAATAGCAAATCCCCACAGTATGCAACCCAGTGGAGTTTGTATTAAACATATATGTCTGCAACTGTTGTAGTTTCTGTAATAGAGAAAAATTGATATAATAATGACAATCGAGGAGTTGGAGCATAGGGATTGCTATTGCAGTTATAGTGATCTTTGTTTATTTTCGTTTTAATGTTTGAGTAAATTGGAAGTATAACATAGATGCATGTTTGCTAGACCCATCAATTATATATTGTATTTCACGACATTGTGGCTTAGTTTACTTGAAGTTATCAGCAGTTTCTTTTACATCAGTACACTGTTAGAGAAATTCAAACATTTGATTCAATTATCATTCCATCCTTGAGGAATTTCTTCAGCTATTCCTTTCAAGTTTAACTAAATGAGAACTATCAGTATCACCGACAACTTTTGATACGCTTTCTTTTGGAGATTAATATAATTGCTTTTGAAGTTGATTTTTGCAAACACAAAGTATGTAAATCAAATGCAACTGTTGCCAAAATCTGCTTATAGAAAAATTTGAAATCTGCAGCATTCGATTAGTTGTTTCAAGGAAAATAATGATGAATTAATAGACTTAGTAAGTCACTATGATTTGTACCAATTTTGTTAAGAAGGTTTGCACGTAATTAATGGAGAAAAATAAATTTGCAACAAGAACTACCACAACTATTGTAACACATAGCACAAGTACAGAATTTTTTAACTAGCTAGAAGTACTCAATCTTTTTTAATAATATTACGAGTAGAACTACGTTATGGGTTGAAATGCTCAAAATTGAAGCTTTAAATGTCTTGCGGCTCCAAGAAATGAAAATTATTTTGACAGACAAATCAAGACAGCATTAAAAACGCACTATCTAGTTTTGGAGATGGCCGGAAGTGATTCAGATGGACTGGGTATATAAAAAATCCAGATATGATTTAAACTAGATAGCGTTAGAAAAGAGCATATACACCGTTCTGTAGTGAAATCTTGTACCGTTACATCTTCATTTTGTGCATATTATGGCAATCTGCAGATTGGTTTTTTATTTAAAGATCGTTTTTGATAGCTGTTTCTAACGGCTTTGATCTGTGTACATCGTATATTTTCACATTCCTTACCAGAGTACAAACATTTTCATTAAACAATTTTTCATTATTGAACACGATTATAGTGTTTTTCGCTCAGAAGCAATTGGAATGAGCTCTTCAGTTTTACTCAAATAGATTTTTGATCTTTGTTAGTTTCAATTTCAGATAAAGTATTGAGAAAAAATCAAAGCAAGCAAGCTGTGGAATCATCAAAATTCAGTACAAACAGTTCGGGATTCATTTCGTAGTATTAATAATGAACACTTCTATTACTGCATTAAAAAAATATTTTTGTATTTCTTTAAACAAAATATCTGGGAATTTTTTCTTATGGATTCACTAAAAATATTTGTTTGCCAAACAAGATATGATTCATCCGTTGTTCATCGCCTTATGTTTTTAACATTCGATTAACTGAGAAGTTTGCGCTGCAGTTCGCAATTTGCAGTTTATATTTTGCAGAATGGAATAGCAAGGAGATGAAAAGTGTATTAATGCCAAAGTCATTTTTCGTAATATCGAAGCTATTGCAAATGAACATAACTATTCCTCCATACATAGATAATGAACAATAGCTGAAGATCTCCGTGAATGTTGAATATATCAGAAAGATTGATTTTAGTTGCTCACTTTTGTACAAAGAATGTGATTGTAGCACGCTGCTTTTGATTAAAATCTTAGTTGCAATGCATAATTGATACTGATGCTG